TATCTAATATTCCACAGAAACCATGGATATGAACCAGATATGTTCCTTAATGTTTCCTATGCTTGGTATACAGATTATCATAGTTCCTTCTATTTCCCAACACTCTGACATTCAGATCTGGTTGGTAATGGAGTAGACTATTTCATAGGAGTGAGCTCCTCATCACTAAAAATGTTCCATCAGACACCAATATACTGATGGAGTATCAACCTAGGGCAAACCCTATAATCTCCAATATCCCTCACAGCCTGGAGATACAATATCTTTTCCCATCTTAGGTTGCCTTTCTCTTTTTTCTTTTCCTATCCTATGAAGTATAAGTCAGGTAGCACCTTCTCCTCAAATAATATTACTTCATATATTTGTTATGAGGAATTGATAAGCTATTGTGTGTGTGTGCGTGTATAATATATATATGATATATATACATATATTTTTTTTAGCTGAGTACTTGGCATATAGTAAGTGCTCAATTAATTCAAAGGAATTAATTGTTTCCCTCCAGTGATAAAAATTCACATTAATCTGTTTCTTTTCTGGCCTCCAAGAATATTTGGCTGTAATGAAAAAAATAGTAATTGCTTCTTTATAGTCATATTTTTCTTGAATTACTTAATATTCTATGTTATCTTTGTATTTCTTAAACACTAGAACCAAATCATCCTTTTATTTTTATTTCCCACAGTTTATAGACAAGGGATGAACACATATGATCAATGAATATGGAAAAGGTAAGCTTTATAAAGAAGAACCAATAAATAATGCAGTTTAAAAAAATCACACTGTATTTAATCTTGTCACCCTAACTTAGTATTCATGTGGCCTGGAAAAGTCTTATGTTTTAGTTTTCTCATTTAAAAAAATGGGGTCAAATATCCCCACTATGCCTTTCTGGTTGTATTGTTACAGCCAGAGAATTGGGTAAATATGAAGGACCGTTCAAATAATGCACTTTTATTTGGTTGTCCATTTAGTTACAACTTAGCATGTTGAGAGAATTCACAATGGAAAGGGCAATTCTTCTTTAGCAGACCATCCTGATTACAAATGTTTGAGATTTTTCTTTTCCAAAAAACAGAGCAAATTGCAGGCTGCCATGATATTCAGTGCAACAGTTCTTTACACATTTTTATAAAGATTAGAAAAAAGCTTACATCTCTGATGAACAATTAGGAATTTCAAGTCTATGAAAAACAATGGGTTACTACAGTTCTCCATTAAGACTGCGACTGCCGCTTTGGGGCTACCTGGCCATGCTCAGGTGCTGTCCAGACATCCTGAGAGTATTAAGAGGTTCCTGTAGACCTCTGACCAACATAAGCCATTATGTCAAAACACAATCACAAATGCCTTATTTGATAATCAGGATGGTTATTTAAGGCCAATGCTTGTAATGGTCAACTCCTCATTGCTTAACCAGATTAAATATAAAATCCACAAGCTGTACAATTCCTGCTCCCCAGAGCTGTCTGAATTGTCTTCCTAAAAAAACAAATCTGAATCACATGAGTCCCTGCTACTTTCCAAATACAACTCCAATTCCATGGCTTGAAAATCAGTGCCTTTTATAATAAGGTCTCTGCTGCTTTTTAAAAAAATTCATTCAAAAAATACTGACTTACTGTGTAGTATATGCCCTCATGGTGCCGTCAGGGCCAGTGGTTCCTCACTGCTCCTGAAACATGCTCTAAACTTTTCTGCCTGTCTTTGTTTTACCTACTCTCTCTGTCTGAGATGCGTTTATTCTCCTTGCCATCTGGCAGAATCCCACCTATTCAGGTCAGGTTCAAATTCCAACTCTTCCTGCCAGCCCTATGCACAAGATTCTCTGTGTCTTTTACTTTGATGCTCCACAGCACTTAGCTTGTAAAGCTGAACTGAAATTAAAATCTTAAGAAGAGCCTCACTAATTTGCCACATTTAGTTAATTCCTATCATTGCCAAAAAAGTGGTGGATGAATTGGATTAAATGTTTATATATGTACTAATGGATTGCTTGGACCCTTTTAACAGTGGCTTTAGTAATTTGGATTCACTTCAAATCAGTCAAATTCTTGGATTTGTAGAACCTGGAGTGAGTAAAAGGGGCGAGGGAAATAGAAACATTTTCATTATAGATGTTTTAATTTAAAATTCAAAGCAATAGCTATTATTTTTTTTAATTGGATGTGTTATATGTTTATCTACTCACTCTCTTGTAATGCAGTCTGAAAGCTATTTTATTTAAAACAAAAGTGTATGTAGCATTGTATATAGGTGTTATGATAGCTACACATAAAAATTTGTCCAGAGCTTTAGCTAAAAAACAATGACTGTTAACACCAGTACAATGAGTTGAAAGTAAAGAACTTCATTAACCTGTAGTTTGTCATCTACAAGATGCTAAATATCAACACCATTGGTACTTTTTCCCCCCAGAACTTTGGTTGTTTCAGTTGACACTATCAAGTGTTAATGTTAAAAAGTATACGCCCCTTTCTTTTCTGATTTACCCTTCTTCAATCACCCACTGGTGGGTGAGGTCCCAGGGCAGTCAGTCCAGTCAAAGGCACATCTGTTCCTGCTTCAGTCCCTGAATCTGTTTGGCTTTTTTTACTCTGCTGGACTAGCCAGGATCCCTCAGGTCCCTTCAATGGCTCTCCTTTGAAACTCAGAGTAGGCCATGGAACACCTTCCCTTCTGAGCTCTGTTCTGTCCCTCCTATTTCCAGAGTCTTCAGTTGGCCTCTTAAACAGAAGGTAGCCCACAAGTCTAGAGGTCTTCCCAAATCTCCCTTTTTTATAACACTTTTATTTCTCCTTCTAAAACATATGATTTGGGGGAGAGAATGCTTTTGTCTTCTTTCTGTCTGCCTTCTCAATGTCATAAAATGGAATTTTTTCCAGTGTATATCCTTGAAGCCAGACAAGGCCCAATCAGTGTTTGAGGTAACTGAGAGAAAGGGGAAGATAATTTCTTTTACACCTTGCAGTTTTGAAGCTTCCAAATATTTTTAAGTACATGCGTATTTCTATTAATTATTCTACATACACTAAAAAGGATGAATGCAAAATTACCTTAAAGCTAAATATTTTTTCACTTCTCAGTATGTAATTTGCTTTACTTTTTTCTTCTATTTGATAGTTTCTTATCACTTCTATAATCCAGAGCTAATTTTAACATGGCTTGTAAGTATACAAGTTTGCATGGAGTAAGGAGTCAATTTTATAGTACTTCAGGGCAAGAATAGCATATATATAAAGAGGGAAACAGCAGGTATTATTAACTCCCAACCTTATGAAAAAGATAAAAAGTATTTATTGCTACAAAGGAATGATATCAAACCAGAGCGATAATGTTTAAGAGACAGAAACAAGAATTCAGATAATTTTACCAGAACAATTAATTTCTTTGTTGGTATTTTAAAATAAAGAAGGGAACTGTTTACACACAAAAAACAATATTCATTTTAGACATATTTTTAATTTATACATCTGATCACCCAAAATGAATGCTTATGGATAACCCAAAAAAATATATTTTTGATGGTATATTTCTTGTTTTCAAATGTGATATTTTTGTATCACATTTTTCTGGTTCTGTTTTATTTGTTCACAATCTTGAAGGAATTGTTAACCCCATGTAAAGGAAAAAGGAAAGTCACAAATTAGAGGAAAATGAGTTTAATTTAACATGATCTAAATATTTTACATATAACATAACCATTAATAATTAAAATTAATTTATTTGGTTAGATCTAAATATTGCAGTTGGTAATTATTTCTTATATATAGTCTCTCCCATTATTTTCAAAGTAAATCAGGATGAAAAGATAAATGTAGAAGAAAATATTTAATTTTGGTTAAATTGGCAAATGGAACAAAGATAGCTCATCTTTATTCTTCTACTAATATAAATTTATCAAATTCTAGAGTGAGAAGGGACCTTAGAAATTTTCTGGTACAACTTATTCACTTCACTTCTCTATGAGTTTTAATGCCCAGGAAATCCACGTGACTGGCTTTTTGTTACAAAGCTGATTAGGGATTGAGCTGGGACTTGACCCAGAAAATTCCTGACTTTGGGTGTAGAACTTTTTCACTGTATTATATTACCTGTAAAATGAAATTCAATCTAAATTGAGCTTTATATTATTTGGCCTTACTACAGCTGTGGTTTTCTAGTGCTTCCCAAAGTGTCTAGATAAGAATAAATGGATATTAACAAGTATAGAGAAGCATTTTAAATTGGATTTGCAGGCATAAATTACATTTGGATTCATCTCTTTCATTTCAGCCAAAATATCTCTTGATTACTCTAGTTCCATTATCCTTCTCTCTCTCCCTTTGTCACTATGTCACTCTTTTATGTTAAACAAGAGTGTGGGGGAAGGAGGTCTTTTTTCACTTCTTTATTGAGAACACTGTGGTGTTCTATACTATAGGATTTGGTTCAAAAGATTCCCATTTCATTTAATTGATTGCCACATAGATATTACAAAAAAAGGACTTGATGGACAAGAAACGAATATACCTGTGAATGCTTATCTAAGACTGGTGTGGAGTTTTGACTATTGGTTACATGTTTAAGCTTTATCTACGCTCATGTTTAATTCCTGTGAGGAATTGAAGAATCTCCAAAATTACTATTTCTTGAGGAGTAGTACAGGAAGGATTATTTCATTTATTTATTGAATTAAAATTACTGGTAAGACTGCTTTAAATAACACTAGTATGTAGCAATATAACTTCTAAGAAGTAATGTGAAAATATTGATGATATTAATCAAGTAAATAAAAGTGGGAAAGAAACCAGATTTGCATAAAGAAGTATTTCCAATTTCTTACTGGGTTTTAAAAAAATACTTTCAATTTGACATAACATAAAATAAGGAAAGAAATTGTTTGAATCAAATTGATTTTTTTCCTATTTTTCCTTAGCATTTCATAGATAAAGTTTTACATTTGAGTGTAAATTTTTAAAAATTATTAGTACTCAACAAATAAAAGTGTATTAACTTACGGCCCTGATGCTTTCAAAATGTCCACCTTCTTTCTCGAAATCAATAGGCTGTCCTTTTAGTGTCCAGTAGAAAGTGACATCCAAACTAGCATCGTGAATTGCTTTGCAGTTAAGGACAATGCTTTCTCCCACTGTTAATTCTGTTCTTTTAGGAGTAAGTTCTATTCTTGTAGGTTCTATAGAAATAAAAATACATTAATTAACATAATCAACACATAGTATTTCCCTGTATTTTATCTTTTAAGTAATAGAAAAACTTAGAGAACCTATTCAATGCAGTTGCTCTAGATACATATCTTTAAATAAACTATTATTAATTGAAATATTACCTTTTTTGTATACTAGGGCATTTTACTATACTTGTGTAGGGGACTGATGATTTAAAAGTTACTATTCCTATTAAGAAGTAAACATGGACAAAAAAGACAAGAAAATACATAACGATAAGCAGCATTTGGCATTCCTGAAGAGGCAATATTAGAAAAAAGAAGCTGTAGCCTCCCTGTCTACCTTCAAGGATCATTAAGTACAAGTAAAAGGATTTTTACAATAAAAAATATTACATATCTAAGGAATTAAAGTGCAGGTGAGTTCACTTCTTTGAAGGTTATAGGAAGCACGTCCCCTCAAATTACTATTTTAACAGAGATAAAAATATAATATTGTTACTATACCAACTAATGCTTGCTTTATACTCTACAAAACCCTTTTATGAATAGGAAAAGCACAGCTAGCTGATTATAAAAAAAAAATCACTCGATAAATTGTGGATCATTTAGTTGAGATCCAGAACAAAAGGTAAATTTTTGAAGGGAAAAATTTTTTGAGGAAAAAATGTGTGTAATTACTTAATGATTCAATTAAATTTAAAAAAAAATAGATACACTTTTATTGTGTTTAGAGCCAATAAAGGCTAATACTGCTGTTACTTAAGCTTGTGATCCAATAATTGAAATTTGATTTTTTTAATGAAGTAGGGAGGTGTTGGAGATAGATTTTGATTTAGTCATTTTTCCTAATTAGATTCCTGATTGTAGATATCTCAAGAAAACTGACACAAATGATTAAAATTTAGGTTGATTTTCCTATTCTATCTCTGCTTTTGGTAATAGCATGGGCTGAAAAAAGAACCATTTTTAACCATTGATAAGATCCTTTAATATGCAACATCTTTCCAAGCAGTCAGAGAGGAAAGTGCAATACCAGAAAAGGAATGTAAACACTAATATTCTAGAAGTCAGATATTCTCTGTGGCTTTCTAAACTCTGGCTTCATCAGATAATCACAGCATATTGTAGTTTAACTTTGTAAGAATTGGAATGTTCTGAGTAACTAAATATCCCATTTAACAGAAAACTGTTTTGTTATTATTTAAAAAACATCTGTGAATCCAGTATTGCTTCCTTGTAACAAAGATTGTTTAGCACAATAAGGCACAGACTAGAGGATAGAGTTGGATTCCCATAATATATACTATAAAAGACGTTATCATTTAAATTATATCTTTCCTTCTGTTAATGTTTTCTTCTTTTCTAAAAATATTCTAAAATATCAGAGAGCTGGCTATTTTAATGACTTTTTTTTCCTAAGAAAAAGAAAAGTTAATATTTCTATGTTTTTATAGCCAGGTATGATTCACTATATAATACATGCCCACGTGGAAAAAGTTGATTGAAGATAGAGTTCAGTTGTGAAAAATATTTCTTTGCCAATTGATGGGGTTTGCTGTCTAACATATGAGATTTTCTTAGTATGAAAAAATGATATGTAGTCTCAAAAAATGTTCTAGGCCAAAATCTAGTTCATGTTAGAACTAGAAGACTAACAGAAACATTTAAGTGGCAATATTTATAACACCAAAAAATGACAGTGTTTAAAAAATTCCATTGATGCAAACACCAAAGAGCAGGTCAGGTAACCATATACCTGATACACACTCTGACACCGTATAGTCATGTCCTCCTTCTGCTCCTCCTTTCTGCCCCAGATCCCCAGTTGCAGTGATAACAAAGGAATACTACTGATTGATGTTAAAATTAACCTTGATAGAGGAAATATGTTTTTATACTTTTGGGATACTTTTAAATTTTGAGACATCCAGTAAAACTTCAGAAAGCTTTCTTTATCTCCTCACATATTTTGTTCAAAGCAAAATATTTAAGTTCCTACCAACAAGGTGTTCTTTCCTTCATGGTCTTCTAAATAATGGAAAAGGACAATTTGGCTGTGTTAGTTCTATGTTTACAATGTATCTTATCAATAGAAGCATGCACACACGTATGTGTAAACACATTTTACATGCATATTATATTTATTCACTTTCTGACAAAGCCGTGAAACTATGCTTATAACACAGTTAGCCACATTTTCTTACCTTTTACAGATACTGAGGCTATGATTTCAGCAGAACCAAAGACATTTTCCCCTTGGCAAACGTACTTTCCCTCATCTGATTTAGAAGCATTTAGGATCCGTAGACTTCCGTCTGGAAGAATAGCTATTCTGAAAATTATTAAAAAAGGTTTTTTCCTCTTTTACTGTAAATCAGCTAAGTGGTAAAAAATTCTGATGACATCTGAAACCATCTCCAAGGTAATAATAAATAAGATAAAGGGATCACTGTGAAAATATGCAGGGATAGTAGAAATGTTTTACCCTTCAAGAAATTATGCAATAAACCCACTGAATATCTTCTTTTATTTAAAAGGGTTAGGGAGTTACAGGTTATTTTTCTTTTGACACTTTTTGACAGTTAATGTTAAAACGTGTGGGAAAAGGTGACCCTGAATTTGGTTATTAAAACTTATACTATAATAACACCCAGTGATATTTTAATATGAAGCTTGAGTATTTTACTTCGAACCCAGAGTGACCTCAAAAATCAAATATAAAAAGAAACAGCATAAAAACATAGAGGAAAACAAGTACAGAACATAAAATTAATTGTATACAGCCAAGAGATGATTTATCATGGTTTCTCTACAGTGCTACTAGTGCAGCAAGGGTATGAAAATGAAACCTGATACCTGATACCTGGCTGCTCACACTGCACTTTTTCAATATAAAAACATGAAACCTGAGTTTGCATTTGGGCTTTTTTGAGACCTTTGTTAAAAGTGGACCTTGAGTCTTATATGAAGGTGAAAAATTAAAGCATTATTAAAAATTTTTAGAAGTTCAGTGAAAATGAGGTTGACATTTGGGATTACCGTATTATCCTGTGTATTCATCATCCCAGAAATATATGGATTTCAAAGTTAATTAGTACTTTTGTTTTTTTCTCCCTTCTATGCTCCTGAAATATAACCCAATTTTTCACCAATGCATCAACCTTCTCAAGTAACCTGAAATGAAATAGAAGTGGCTGTTGTGGTTTGTTTGATATGCCACTAGAGTTTGGACTGACTTTTAGGAAAGAGGAAGTAACATGTGTTTGGTAAGAACCAGTGGCCCTACTGAGCTTAAAATCCTAAAATTGGATTTCCCTAGTTCTGAAAAGAATAATTTATTCAATGGTAATATGATAATATTATGCTATTTAAGAAAGAAGAATATGGGTTAACTATGGTTAGTCAACATCCTTCATGTTATTTTAAAATATGTATTCAATCTTGCCAATCACCCAGAACTGAGTTATTGAAAGCATTGAACCTTGTTACAATTGGATTAGATTCTATGTTGCTGACTATTGCTTATGAATTTATATTTGCATATTGTTGTCAGTAAAGATATGAGTTTAAAAACATCATACTCTTTTCAATATATATCAAAACTGCTTTACAACCTAAGAAGGAAGGCAAAATTAGAGGCAAGCCAAACTAGGAATAGAGAATTTGTTTTTATACTTTATGTCTAGGAGAGAAACTATCTTTAGACATTTGGAAAACACAGTGTCCTTAAAAGATATATAATCTGGGAGGAGGAGTAAAATGGCAGAGGAGTAGGAGACCTAAATTTCGTCTGGTCCCGGGAATTCAGCTAGATAGGGATCAAACCATTCTGAACACCTACGAACTCAAAAGGAGATCGAAGAAAAGAATAGCAACAACTCTTTGAATAGAAAAGTGACCTCTTTCTGGAAGGTAGGACGTGCGGAGAATTGAATCTGAGGTGATATTCGGGAAGATAGATGGTGGGGGAGGGGGCCTCCGTCAGCCGGCTACCCGCAAGTGATAGAGAAGAGGAGCACAAAATCAGAACTTGTAGAAGTCAGCTCTGCTGAGGGGTGTCGCTCCAGTGGCTAAGCGCGGGGGGGGGGGGGGGGGAACCCTCGCTGGGACAGTGTGGTCTCAGGCCCTTTGGGGTCACAGAAAGACCGGGAGTGCCTGAGTGCGGCAGAGCTCCCAGGTATTGGAGCAGGGAAGTCAGCCACAGACAGAGTCAAAGAGTGCGCTCTCAGCTCAGGGTTGCTATAAAACATGATCTGCAGCACAGTCAGGTCACTGTTCTTCGAGCAGGGACCCAACAAGCAGCAGATCCAGGGAGACTCCCCTTCCCCCCCCACCCCCCACCCCCACCCCCTGAGAAGCGGTGCAGGAGTGCACCACAGGGATCTGCTGGGTTTGGAGACTCCAGAAGGGATCGTGTGCCAGAGGTAGAAATGCTCGGTCACAGAGTGAGAAGGGAGTGTGGCCAGAGACCAGGGACACGGGAGTGATTGACTGCTTTTCCTGGGGACCCACTGAAGAGTGGGGCCCCGAGTTCTTCACTCCTGAGGGTAGATATTGGGAAGCCACCATTTTCACTCTCATCCTCCAAAGCTGTACAGAAAGCTTGCAGGGAAAAAAAGCTATGGAGAGCAAACCCGAGCAGATTATGTAGCCTGGACCCCCGCAAGGGCTGGGCAATTCCGCCTCCGGCAAAGACATTCGAAAACCACTGCAACAGGATCCTTCACCAGAAGATCAGAAAGAATAGCCCGCCAAGACCAAATTTACTGATCAATGAGAACAGCAGAACTCCAGTGCTAGGGGAATACAGCACATAGAATTCATGGCTTTTTTTCCTATGATTCTTTAGTCTTTCAAAGTTAATTTTTTTAATTTTCTTTTTCTATTTTTTTAATTTTTCTTTTTCCCTTTTTCAACCAACATCTTATCAATCCCTTTTTAAAAAATCTTTTTTTTATTTTTCACTTTTAGAGTCATATTCTCTCCCTTCACAATAGTTAACCTCATTTTTGATATATATATATAAGTTGTTCTCTCTTTAAAATTTTAGGATACAGTTGCTTCTAACAGACCAAAATATACCCTAAATCTCTAGTGTATTGCTTTGTTCTGGTATTCTGCTTGATCACATTCTCTCCCTATTTATTTTAATTTCTCTTCTTTCTTTTTTTTCAACCAAGTTCTTATCAATTCCTTTTATAAAATCTTTCATAATTTTGATCTTTACAGTCATATTCCATCCCTTCATCATATTTACCTTTATTTTTGTACATATATAAGTTTTTCTTTCTTTAAAATATTGGGAATCCCTTTCTTCTAACAGACCAAAATACACCCAAAATCTAGTGTGTGGCAATGATCTATACACCAGCCTGATCATATTTGATCATATTCTCTTTTTTTGTCTTTTTCTTTTTTTTTCTTTTTTCTTTCTTTCCCTTTCATTTCCCCCAGTTTCAGGTCTCTTCTGATTTCTCAGTGTATCTTTTTCTGGGGTTGTTGTTATCCTATTAGCATTTTGTACTCTCATTCATCTATTCTCCTTTGGACAAAAATGACAAGATGGAAGAAATCACCTCAAAAGAAAGAAAAAGACACAGTACCAACTGCCAGGGACCTAATCAATATAGACATTAGTAAGATGTCAGAACTGGAGTTCAGAATGACAATTATAAAGATACTAGCTGTGCTTGAAAAAAGCATGGAAGATATTAGAGAAACCCTTTCTGGAGAAATGAAAAAACTAAAATCTAACCAAGTTGAAATCAAAAAGGCTATTAATGAGGTGCAAAAAAAAAAATGGAGGCTCTAATTGCTAGGATAAATGAGACAGAAGAGAGAATTAGTGATATTGAAGACCAAATGATGGAAAATCAAGAAGCTGAGAAAAAGAGAGATAAACAACTACAGGATCAGGGGACAGAATTCAAGAGAAAAGTGATAACATAAGATGAAACAATATTAGAATAATTGGGACCCCAGAAGAAGAAAAAAGAGAGAGGTGCAGAAGGTGCATTGGAACAAATGATAGGAAGAACTTCCCCCATTTGGGAAGGAAACAGGCATCAAAGTCCAGGAGGCACAGAGAACCACCCTCAAAGTAAAAAAAAAAAATAGGTCAACACCCAGGCATCTAACAGTAAAACTTATGAGTCTCAAAGACAAAGAGAAAATCCTGAAGGCAGCTCAGGAGAAGAGGTCTATAACCTACAGATGTAGAAACATTAGATTGGCAACAGACCTATCCACAGAGACTTGGCAGGCCAGAAAGGACTGGCGTGATATATTCAGAGCACTAAATGAGAAAAATATGCAGCCGAGAATACTATATCCAGCTAAGCTGTCTCATTGAAAATAAAAGGAGAGAGAAAAATCTTCCAAGACAAACAAAAACTAAAGGAAACTGCAAACATGAAACCAGCCCTACAAGAAGTATTGAAAGGGGTCCTCTAAGCAAAGAGAGAGTCTAAAAGTAATGTAGACCAAAAAGGAACAGAGACAATATACAGTAACAGTCCCCTTATAGGCAATACAATGGCACTAAATTCATATCTTTCATTAGTTACCCTGAATGTAAATGGGCTAAATGCTCTAATCAAAAGACACAGGGTATCAGATTGGATAAAAAAACAAGACCTATTGATATGCTGTCTGCAAGAGACTCATTTTAGACCCAAAGAAACCCCCAGATTGAAAGTGAGGGGGTGGAAAATCATTTACCATGCTAATGGACACCAAAAGAAAGCTGGGGTGGCAATTCTTATATCAGACAAACTAGATTTTAAACCAAAAACTATGAGATAAGGAAGGACACTATATCCTATTTAAAGGGTCTATCCAACAAGAAGATCTAAGAATTGTAAATATTTATGCACCTAACATGGGAGCAGATAATTATATAAGCCAATTAATAACAAAATCAAAGAAAAATATCAACAACAATACAATAATAGTAGGGGACTTTAACACACTCCTCACTGAAATGGACAGATCATCTAAGGAAAAGATCAACAAGGAAATAAAGACTTTAAATGACACACTGGACCAAATGGACTTCACAGATATTTTCAGAACATTCCATCCCAAAGCAACAGAGTACACATTCTTCTCTAGTGCCCATGGAACATTCTCCAGAATTGATCACATCCTAGGCCACAAATCAGGTCTCAACCAGTACCAAAAGTTTGGGATCATTCCCTTCATAGTTTTGGACCACAGTGCTTTGAAACTAGAACTCAATCACAAAAGGAAAGCTGGAAAGAACTCAAATACATGGAGGCTAAAGAGCATCCTACTAAAGAATGAAAGCTTCAACTAGTAAATTAAAGAAGA